TCTTACAAATGTACATAGAACCTGAAATTACAATACTTTGTATAGCTTCTATCCCACATACAATTTTGTTTCACATGCTTTGCTCTTACTTCACACTTCAGGTACATCAAGGGTCAGTGCTGCAATCTCACTCCTAACTGTCAGGATGCTCCATCAAACTACAGCATATTATTCCCAGGATTATCCTATCCTGGAAGCATAAAAACATACCTGCTCCTAATACTCATACTGTGATTACTACGATTTTTTTTATATTCCTCTACTCCGTAAGAAGTTACTCACATCTTGAAAACTACTAGAACTCTGTCTAGAATTTTGACTGGCACTGAAGGGACACCAAATACACCATACGTCTCACATTTAAGAAACTTTATTGACATATTGACATGGCACCAAGGTCATGATGACCAACTTTATTCATTTATGTGGTAAGTCTAAGAATTATGTTCTTACATATGTTTAAGGAATTTTAAAAACATTGTTGTTCCATTCTACAACCAACTATGGAAATACAATATTCCACAGGAGGGAAAAACATCTTTTTATACAAGCAAACTATGAAATATGGATATTGTTTTATATCTAAAGAACTATAATATTTAACTATTTTCATTTGATGAGAACTGATGAAAAGTTAAAAGTCAGAGGATGTATCATCAAATATTCATTTTCCACATTTTAGAATCCCTGTAGAACAAAATATACGGATAGTAGGAACACCTAGAGCAACAAAACAGGATGCTTTCAAGAAATTAGTTTCAATTTAGAGCTATTTCTGTATTAATCAGCAACAAAAGATATAAAAAAGGAGGCAGTGTAGCTTTCATAGGCTTGTGCATTACTGGAAGTCTCATACACGCTAAACATCACATAATAAGAGGATCCACTAGCTTGCACCTAATCACCCAGCAAAGCTGGAAGCAGCAGAACTCAGGTGCTGTGCTAAAAGGGATACTCTCTTTGGTGCTTAAAGGAAGCATCTCAGCTTTATCAGTGAATGACAGAACTTCACGGAGGAACTCTCATTGCTAAAGAGCCAAAATAATGAGCTCCTCTCCTCTCTTGACCTCGCTGCTGCAGTGTGAAAGGGGTTCACTCGAACAGTTAACAACGAGGTGTCCTCAGCAGAACCACACCACTCGAAGCCACAGGCACAGTGGTAGGAAGGACCATGCAATCACAACCATCCCCCCTGTCACTCTCTTTCCGAGTCAAACCCTGCTTCTCTCTACTTAAAAAATTCCATACCATGGTTGAACTAACGGTATTTCTGTACCTTAGGGCTGCCATTAACTCTGACACTATACTTTAACAACTGTATGCCAGCTTTCATGGTGATGAAGAAACACAATGTTGTATTAGCAGCAATAATGTTGTCATAATAGCAATAATAATAATAACAATAATAATAATAACAAAGCAGCCAACTTAAGAGCGTGTCAATGCTGAAGACACAGGACTGAATGCAAAGATGTTTCCATCTGGCTATTTTTAAATAAGGTGAAATCAAGCAAGGAGCAGATAATTGCTGGCCTGTGTTTAGTACCCTGTAATCACCCAACTGTTCAGGCTTGGTTATATTTCCCATACTGCAATAATGTTTGCTATCACATCTAGCTTATTACCACTCCTAGCTTTAATGTTTTTTCTCTTTCAAAATATGTTTAGAAAACTTGTAGTCATTCAAAAACACATACTTCCTCTTAACCCACTTCCAGAGTCTGAACCTCTGACTTTACCAAACAAGAAACACTAATGCCTTTTATTTCATAGTCTATACATAATGTTGTTCATTACTTATTCTCACATATTCATTTCCCTCAAAGGCATAAATGATATAGCATTTTGAAACAGGATGGTGTTACCTTTTTTTTCCGACTTTTTCTGAGACTCGGATTCTATAAAGATTTTTTCTTCATTCCTCAGTATCAACTAGGACTTACATTTTCTTGCAGCAGATTCTTTTAACTACAAGGCATCACAGAAATGTTTTGTGAAAAACAAACACCAGAGGTATCATTGACTTCCACTTCATTTTGATTCCAATCTATAAGAGGCTGGGTATATTTTGAATTCAAAATCTGAGAATCAGACCAACATTAAAGAGGCATTAAAGCATGGAAGAAACCATAAAGAAAACTTTTAATTAGTAAGAGAAAAAAATATTTTCTCTTGCTTTCCTCAGGAGATTGTTGGAAAAAATGCTGGCCATTCAAATTTTATCACACTACAGATACTCTTGCAAAAAACATACCATAATGCAATACATCATGTTTTCCCAAGACATTGCTTCCATAGAAATACACACTGTCACTCAAAAAATACTCAATCAAAATTTGTATTTCAGAGCAAGTATTTATCATGTATCCTATTTCCAGATAGTATTTTTTATAATTGCTAACAGAATACCATTCAAACAGCTATGCTATCATATTAAACCATCTACAGCAGAGCATTTTAGCCCAGCCTTATAGGAAAAAACCATGAACCTCTTCATTAGAAAATACAGTGCTCTATTTGAAATAAGAAGAAAACATAAAAGAGGAGACAGTGACAAAAATCTGCCATCTGCTCTACATAAAATGTAGACCTAACAACAATAACCCAAAAACTTACTGTCAGTATAAAAACAGTACCAACAGCCCAGTAAGATAAGGAAGGGTTGTTAATCTTTCTACCATTAGATGCATTGTGTATTTAAATACGTCCTTGTATATAAACACTTCAGCACTTGAAATCCACAATACTATTCACTTTAATTGAGTTAAGACTAAGCAGAACTACGTCACTATCTGAGCTTTCCTTTCTAAAACAGAGCAGCAAACTGCCCCCAACAGCCAATCTTACCCTGCTTTGGTACATCACACCCTTGCTGTAGGAACTAGGCCAAGATCACAGAATAAGTCAGCAGCATCACAAGCCTGTGAGCCCAAATCCTGGCAAGACCATGCTGCCTCTCAGTCCAAAAGGAAGATATTCTGCTCTTCACTACCCATCTTGTGGCTCACCCAGCAATTCTCATACAGCCTAAAACTGCACCAAACATCCTCTACTACAAGCCGAGACACAAATGCAAGCATAGAATTACATATCACAATGTAAAATCTCAAACATTAATTGCATATATAAAAGGATTGCTAAAACACTAAATCAACGTTAAGAACTAGATTTTTTTTTTTTGTGTTCCTGTACTGCCACCTAACGATCAGAGTGAAAAACAGGAACAGTAGCGGATGGCGTGATTTTTGTCTCTAGTCCTGGAAGAGAGAAGTAACATTTTTCTGATGCCTCACTTTGAACTAAGACCACACCAGATTCATCCAGATCGATGAAACAGTTCTATTTCATATCGCAGTTTAGTGGTGCTTCACCATTTGCCTAATTTCTATACATTACAAAAAAAAAAAAAAATTTTGAAATCTCTGTATAGATGTATATAGCTCCTTTAATTAGATAGAGGTCTAATTGGACAATCTTGATCCATAAACTTTGTCTAGCCACAGCATATTTTGCAAAGGAAGAGAGATTAGTGGAAATATACTTTTGACTTCCCTATTTACTTTTTAAAATTTAACTCCTATCATTATATAGGAAAAAAAAAAAGAAACCACAAATTAATAACCTCTCGTGATATAACAAGTTGGTAATACCATTATTTCTCCCTATAAAACATGCCCTGGTTGCACGTCTACATCCAAACACCTCAGATTCACTTTTATTCCACCTGTTGCTGACCTCAGCCTGTCTTCTGAAGTCTGAAGTCTCTCCCAAATTCAAGTGGAAAATGTTCAGTCACCACCCCAAAGGACCCTGATGTCACAAGTCAGACTTCACAGATATAATAGCTAAAAATCTTTAGAGTTTGGTATTTATTTAGGGTTTTTTTTGGAGGAGTTTTTGCTTTGGTTGGGGTTATTTTTCAATATGCTGAAGATAACAAGATGCATCTTACAAGAGGAAAGCATCACCTGGAATACATTGGCAACTTTTTCTTTGATTAAATGAGAAATCTCGTATCTTTAAATAGAAGCCGAGATGCCCCGTAATGGATATGAAGCAAATCACGTGGACTGTTTCAACAAACAAAACCTACAGCCCAAATTAAAAAAAAAAAAAAAAAACAAAAAAACCCAAAAAACAAAAAACAAACCACCAGAGCAAAAACCTAAAAAAAAGTTAGCAGTGTCGAATTTTCTCCTATCTCTCTTCTTCACGTCTTGGCAACTATACAGGGGTTTAGCTTCTCTCTAGCAGTATGTTTCAGGAATTAATATACAGATAGGTATTAATATACAGATGTTCCTTTAACAGCTCTACCACAATCCAGTGTGCTGGGAAACTGCTCCAGATTAGAAAAGCAGTTTTGTTTGTTTCCTTCTAAACACAGAAAGTTACTGTACGTTTGTCAGTTTCCACTTGCAAGGATTTGCGGGAGGAAGGCAGGAACTCATTGACGGCACGTCTCAAAGCCAGGTGCTCCCGAACGGGATAAACCCGGGCAGGTAACACCAAACTGCAACACCGCCCGCTGCCTATTTCATGGAGGCTGGAGCATTCCCAGCTCCATACGTGCCCAGGGCACGGCTCCCTTCTCCCCGCCTCACGGCCAGGGAGCACCTGAGCGGAGCCGGGACCCTCCCACCGCCGCCGGCCCGGCGGGAAAACCCCGGGCCACGCCGGCACTGCCGCCTCCTGCCAGCCCGGGAACCCTGCCCAGGAACTGCCCGCGCCCGGGAAGAGGCGACATCTTCAAAAAAGCCGCTTTAAAATAAAAAGCCCCCAGTTAAAGAGAGCGGCAAGCCTCGCAGCTCAGCCCTGGCAGCACATAGCTGCAGAGCCTTGCACAGCCAACTCCTCCCCGGAGCACGTCTCCCCATCCCATCCCGTCCCGTCCCGTCCCGTCCCGTCCCTCTCCGCACTCCGGCCCCGCAGGCACAGCGCGGCCCCGCCCCGGCGGAAGGGGCGGGGCTGGCGGCAATGCGGCGCGTTCCCGCCGCTACCTGCGCAGGCAGCGCTCGCACACGCTGCCCAGCTGCTCCTTGGTGAGGACGTAGGCGAAGGGCACGTCGCGGTAGAGCAGCTCTCCGGGCCGCACCCTCCGGCGGGAGCGGAGACCGCTGCCCTTGCCCGGGCTGTGGAAGCGCTCCAGCGCCGCCGGCTCCATCCTGCCGCGCCGCCGCCGCCACCGGAGAGGAGGGCGCGGGCCGCCCCGCCCGCCCGCACGTGACCGGGCGCTGCCGCCGCCATCTTAGGTCAGGGCAAGGCCCGGGCGGGCGCTGCGGCGGGCAGGAGCCGGGCCCGCCGGCATGGAGCCCGGGGTTTACGGAACACAGGGTTTGTGTCCTGGGCCAGCACAGCGCAGCCGTACTGAGAGGTGCAGGGCATGCTAGAAGAGGCAGTTAATAGTCCTTATCACTGAAACCCACAGTGGGTCAGGCTGGAAGGGACTACAGTGCGTCGCCTGGCGGAATGGCCCTGCCCAGGGCACAGGTCTGCATCCAGTGGGATCTTGAATATTTCCAGTCAGGGGGGTTCCACAGCCTCTCTGGACAATCTGCTCCAGTGCTCAGCCGCCTACGCAGTAATGAAGCTTTTCTTCCTGTGATAATTGATAAAAGATTCGTGTTAATCACAAAAGCATTGGGGTTTGTATAAACCAGAATACTAAGCTCTGAAGTGAAGCATGGACACTAGATAAAGGAAATTATATAATAAAATTATTCTGTTTAAAATCACCTTGTTATGGTTCATTATGTTATGTAACGTTATATTATGTTATGTTTTCCAAATAAGTTGTATCAGCTACCAGATTGCAAAATCAGCCTTCCCAATAGCCCTTCCTGCTTTTGTCTGATCAATACTGCTTATCTCAAGGACCAGACTTCCAGAACTTCTCTGGTGGTTATCTACAAGGATCCGATGGCTATCTGTGACTGACTATCGCCCAGAGGCTTTGTGAATTTGTGTAAGGATGTTTAGTCAACCACCACTGCTTATGACAACAAAAAATCCAAAAATTATTGATTACAATGAGAAACGACAGTATAAGAAGAGGCTGCAAACCAAAGTTCGGTGGAGCGTGGAGTGGGTGGTGAGCCCTCACGTTCCCCAGCGCACTTCTTGCTCTTTCTATATCAAATAAAGCAATCTAAATTTTGTTGAATATCGAGACTTTTGTCTCTCATTTATAACATTCATATTCAGGTGGAGTTTCCTGTCCATCAGTTTCTGCCATTGCCTCCTGTCCTATTGCTTGGCACCACTGAGCACAGCCTGGCTCCATCCACCTTACACCCTCACTTTCCATACTTATACACAAAATATTAAACAGTTCGGTTTACAAAGGATGTGGTATGATAATGATTCAGTCAAAAGACATCCCCAAAAAAGTCATTGTATTTATGGCATCTGGATGTATTTCTGTATCTCACTGTGATCTGAATGCAAAGAAATATGACTGGGCCAGTAGCTGCTAGGCACTTTAAGCTCTGGTGGTGGTTCTCACTGAGAATGCACTCCATACACCACAAGTTTTTTTACTTTTTGTCAGAACCATGAGTTAGAGGGACCAGATAAGTGACAATGGAAAAAGCAAAACACTTGCAGAATTAACTAAGGCCATTAGTCTGAGATGTTGGTGTTCAAAGCCTGTGAAATAAGTGCGTTCTGTACGGGTCTGCGTAACTTGCATTCCTTTATGAAGACTACACACATGACACAGGCTAAATGTGCTAAACTGCAGATCGACTCTGGTTTTCCTTATCACGCCTATAGAGGGAGGTAGGGCTTGTGTTTTGGAAAGGAGTGTCGATTCGTGCTGTAAAAGAGCACTGAGACATAGACCTAACAGTTCTACCAAGCAGTTGCACAGTGCTAAAAACCACTCCGTTTTGTCCTCAGTGACTATTATTTCAGTCTGCAATTGTTTTCATCCAAGTTGCAACAAGGTAATAAGGAATGGTAATATGCATATTAAAACACTGCTATTAGGAAGAACCAAGGTACCTAAAGCCAGAGGATTCTCACAGAAAAATGTATTTTGACATTTGCTTAATGCTGCAATGATGTAATTCATTACCAAAAGAACTGACAGCAGTCTTGCTGTTAGTGAAATCATTATGCATATTACTATGCTTATTTTTAGCTCTTCTAGCAAATTTTTTAAATGTGTTAGTTTACAGTGATACTGTGAGTTTCTCAACAATTAACCTTAGTAGTTATTAAAATATTAGGCAATTAGCTCTGTATTTGGCCTGTATGCTTTACTTCTTCACCTATTAAATATTCTGCATTTTCCTGTCTGTGCTGCTTCAGTTTCTAAGCAGGCATCACCCAAAACCTGTACCAAAAACAACAGAAGTTAACATCTATCTCTATTAGTGGATAAATTTAAGAAATTTATGGTCAAACAAAAAGCATGAACCTAAAGGCCTACCCATGAACTGCAAAAAGTGCACTCGGGGAAGAGCTAATATAAATATATAATACCAGATATGGTTTTCATTATTTTCTCAGTTTTTCTTGACAGGTTTTCTCACTTGTATGTCCAGTAACATAAAAAAACCTTGCAAAGTACAAAAACACGTCAGAGGGAATGCCAGTCTTCTGTCTCACTGACACACAAAATAAAAATCACAACCTTAAAGAACCCAGCTACTCTAGGAAAATCTGAAGTATGAATACCCATAGAAAGGGATTTCCATCAGATTGGCTTAAGTTGTGCAGGAAATAAGCCACAGAAGCTTCGAAACAGCTTTTAGCTTACATTGCATTTCAAGTCATATGAAAACATAATTGCATTAATAGAGATTTTCTGTATAGATAAGCTTTCAAACACAGCATTAAACATTTTAAGGCAGTGTTGGATATTTGGATATCTGTATGCAGGGCCTGAAGAACTCTTTCTGGATATCTACACCTGCAGGTTAGTGGTGAATCTGCCTAGAAGGGCCTGGGCAGATTCAGCAGTCTTTGAGCAATGGTGATCAATGGAATGCCCAACTTTGATGCTTTTGGAATCATCAGTCTGAATTTTCTCAAAAGCATAATGGTACTAGGGCTATATATCCCAGTAAGTAGTTATTTAGCCCAGGAATATATTTAGTTTAATTTAATCCCTCTTATCAGCATGGTGTTATTATATGACCAAGTCATACACTGATAAACAGGTCAGACTTCTCAGCAGCTGTTTGAAGTACATGACACATTCTGGACGGAAGCAGCTATCAAGGAGTGTAATGAGGGCAGTTTTGTAGGAAATATCACTTAATTGTGGCTGATGCTGCTGAATTAGTCATATGTCCTTACTGCCAGGAGACACTGTGGTGGAGCTTTAGCTCTTCTATCTCAGGACAGCATGTTTTACTACACGAATTTAGAGAAACAGCTGCAGTAATGAAATAATTCAAATTCTGCTCCTTACTCATAAATGCGCAATAGCCATTCCAAACAACACGACACAAAATGGATTTTTTTTTCTGGGATCAAAATATGGCTCAAAACACAAAATGTTAAATTTTGGATTGTACAAAATCTGTGTCACTAACAGTCTAAAATACCTATCAATTAATTAGTTAAAAGGTTGTAAGTACAGACAAATCTTTTTTGAACACGTATCTCTTCACTTTCAGTGTTGGTGTGCTAGTGAAAAATTGATTCTAGAATGTTAAATTAAAGATCGCTGCAGAAGCATTTTAAGCACAAATTCATAATAAATTTCACATAGATTTTATCTGTTGATTTTTTACTGGGAAATTTACCAAACCATTCTACTTTAGATACTTTGTATCTTCCCTGTCTCAAACACATCCATTTCCTTCAAGCAACAGAAGCAAGTTGAAGTTCTGAAGTTCTGAGATATTTGTTTATTTGGGGTCGTATCAATAGGATCAACCGCATCAGTGGTTAAAGACTTTCATTATGAGTAATCGACTGTTTCATTTGGTGTATCTTAACTACCCCTAATTTCCCTTGGGCTCCATGTGCTTGCTGCATGTTGGGTTCTATCAGCTGGAAGAGTCCGTGTGCCTATTTTTAGCAGTGACAAGTTAAGCAGCCCACACAAGGAAAGATGCAATAGCTGTTAAACAAGGATATTATGTGAGTGAATAAACATCTCCCACTGATTTGTCCTTTCCAGAAAAGCTACTTGGTATTTCCATTTTCTCAATGTTTACAGAAGAAAGGTATGGCTTTGCTAATTAAAATCATACAAAGCTCAGGTTGGAGTTTTCAATCTGCAGCCCCACAGATTGTGTTCAGCCTGACAAAACAATTAATTCAACATGCTTCTCAGGAAGCCTCAGTTCCTTCCTATCACATTTGCACATCTTAAACTATACCACACAATCTGTTTCTCAAGTTTTATGCTGATATTTCTGTCAACATTATCATTAACCTGCAAAGCTGAGCTCTCATTTCCGATGCTGAACAGGTTTAGTAGCCAGTCCAGACACATTCCACCTTAACAACCCCTTATCACAACGTCTACTGTGTTAATTACTGCAAGGTCGAAAATCCTCCTTCTAGATCAAAAGTGAATTGACTGTAGAGTTCAACTTAACTGACCTCCTAAAGTGGCAACATTTCTCATTAACTGGGCCAAGTTTGTTTCTGTCTCTATTTCTGTTTGTTTTGATTTAAATATAGGTACGTAGGAAAAGCTTGGGCAATTGCTAGCACAGTCATAATTTTCTTTCCCAGATAGATGGCACAAATTATGAGGGCCACTAGAAAAGACTTAGCATCTCTAAAAGCTACAATCAATATACCAGCTATGATATACTGGTGCTTTAATATGGAATGCCAAACCATTTTTGGGCAGCTCATAAAAAAATTGTAAGAGTAAGAGCAACACATAAAGTGTTCTACTGGATAGTCCATCACATGTGGTTCATGTTTCAGAGGTATTAAATCAGTCTTGAGGGAGAAAAAGGCAGTTATGCAAAGGAAAGGAACATAAATAGTACAGCGTTGGTTGAAAATCATAACAGAAATGTATGACGAGCCTTTATATACCATTTAAAATTTGAAAGTGAAGTGAAAGTTCAACATTATCCTACAAAAAGCTATAATCCTGCAACAGTAGGAATTACTGAGTGGATAGTATAAATTAATCAAATATATAGACCTAGTTAATTTTCACTCCCTGTGTATTTATTTATA